AAAAATAATAATAAATTAATTTAAATAAAATTTAAAATTAAATAATAAAATTTTAACTTGGGGCGACTGTTTTGTTAAGGGTCGACTAAAGAACATTAAAAAGTATTTTAAATTGAAAAAAAAATCATAATAAGAAGAAACAATTAAGATATTCTTAAATTATTATCAAAATAATAATAATAATAAAAATTAAACAAAACAAAATTATAAAAAATAAATAAAGAATATAAATATTATTTACTTAAAATTGAAAAAAATAAAGATTTGTTTAAAAAGAATTTTAAACTGTAAAAAAGGAAAAAAAAACTGAATTTGGTAATTTTGTTAAAAATAATATCTAATGTATTAATTTTCAATTATTTATTTCATACAATTTTCAATAAAATAATATTTTTCATCACATCAATAACTTTTCCTTCTTTTTCAACCACATATTCCCCATCACATAAAACAAATGCATTCTTGGCTTGATAATGTGCACCAGATAGGGGCTAAATCCAACATTTCTACTCAACCATCTACCTAAATAATGAATAAAAAACTAAATAAATGTTAAATCTGAACTTTACCATTCAAGAAAATTCAAAATCATAATCACAACAAAAAATTAATCTTGTTAAATATCACTTCGTCGGTGAATTGTTGTGGTGGTTGGATTGCCGACTGTGAGCGAGGTTGTGGTCAATTGAATCTCGACTGAGATTTTTTTTCCTTTTCTCCCCTTTTGAGTGTGAGGTAGAAATGAGAGGGTGTTTTTGGATTTTGCTCTTAAATTCCCAATTTTTTTTTTTTTTTAAAGTGGTCAAAGGCCAAAGTGGAAAAATGACGGGAACGAGGCCATTTCCACTTATTTCCTCCTACCAATCTAATTGAGTAGAACTAGGTAGATCAAATCTCAGTATCAAATCATGGAATATTGATGATTTTTTTTGTTTGTTAGCCGCATTACAAGTGTGTAAAGGTTAGTTGAGAAAAGTCCAACACGATTTAGGCTCAACATGCCAATTAGGCTCTTGTCGGAGTCCCATTATTTAGAGCTTGTTTCGGAGGAATTAAAATTCAGTTAAAATTAAAAATATAATTGTTATTGGATCTCACTCGTCTAA